TAAAGCCATGTTCCAAGGTAGGGACTCATCTTCATCTTGAGATTCCTGAGTGCTGATAGAATAGATCACTTGCTGGAATGGAGGATTTCTAGTCACTCCAGGAGGTGCATCAGATGAGCAGTGGCCTGTATGAGCCGAATGGGATTGATTAGAGACGAACTGATGGTTGTGTGCGGCTGCAGGTGACGTGACGGTGGGGAAGTGACTGTTGGCCGCGGGTAGGACAAGCACAACCGCAGTAAACTGCTTGTTGGCCACGGTCACAGGAGATGCGACCGCAAGGAAGCGTCTCCGAGGTGAGTTGCCTGATTTACCTGCTCATTTGCCTTCTAAGTGGTCTCTTGGGTCTCCTGGCTCAGTGTACTTCTTTCCTAGGTCAAGACCGTCAGTATGAAGTGCTGAACCTTGTGCTCCACGTCTTTGCATAATCTCCTCACTTTCTCTTGAACTTCATCAAGAGCATAGAAAACTTTGTCTAGGGTAGAATCAAGCTCTTCGGTAGTCCATGACCTTGTACACCTTCTCTGAAACTTTGGCTGTGAAGTCATAAGACTCGTTCTTGGCTTCATTGAAGGAGTTTTCCACATCGTCAAGGTCTCTGATCTGTTTCTTAGCATTGCGAAGCTCATAAGTGTGTTTGGCTTGCTCTTCCTCCATGGTGTCAAATCTCTTGGCTATGGTGGCTGCATCCTTGTTTGCTCGTTCTTATATTCACTTGACTTGATCAGAGAGGTCTTCAAACTTTTTGTTGAAAAGAGTTGATATACCATCAGTTCTCTCATGAAGGGGGGTTGTAGAGACGGCTTGGCATTGATGAACTGCTTGATTGTGGCTTCAAGATGCTCCAAACAGTTACTGATATGCACGTTTTCATCCTGCTTGAGGATCTGATGAGGTAGGCGATGAGCATATGGTCTAGGGTTAACCATAGGAGATGGAAAAGCTTCATCTCAGTACATGGGAGGCTCGCGGCGTCTGTACAACTGGTGGTTGGGATTAGGGTTTCAACCAAATTGAGAAGATCACATATATTGCTTTTCTCTGTGTTTGGTTGCTTGAGAAGTGTTGTAGAAACCTTCCTCGTAGTAATGATTTCGGTCCATAGGGTTCATTGCTTCAAAACCTGAAATAAGGAAAACCAAAAAGGAAAATAAGTAGAAAAAAGTGTTCTAGAGTCGATTTACTAACCTTTCCAGGGTTTTACGAAAGAGAAAACGCTTGCCTTTCCCGGAAACGGCACCAAAAACTTGATGTGGTGTGAGTGTGGGAACAAGTTTTACCCTACTAGAATCAATTAAAGCCGCAACTGCACAGCTAATCGATTGTATTACTTAGGGATCGAATCCATAGGGGATGAGGGTCTTTTCTGCAAAAACCATTGAAAGAAATTAAAGCAAGGAAGTGTAGAACTAATCGATATTTTAAAGGGGTTTTTAAGGTGTCACTAAAACATAAATCCTAAACTAAACGGGAAAAGAAAGAAACAATTAAAACTAAAAATTACCTAATCTAAAGACTTAAGAAAATGGACTGGAAAAATGAAGAAAACTAAATGTAAAAAGCTTGAATCAAAATCGATGTAAACTTATAAAATGAGACGCTGGGTTTTCAGGAAAATTACCTCTGGGGTATGAACGATTCAAAATATTGATAAAAAGTAATTTAAAATATCATAGCTAAAACTTTTAGAACTCGAGCTCAAAGGTATGACTTTGTCACTATCGTAATCGGAACCAAATGTCACCAACAACACTGACAGTAGGTTTCCACTCTGGCACCGAAAGGGAGTGTACGCAATCTTGCACTAGACTCATCTACATTCACAACTCACCCATTGATAGTAGGAATTTTTCAATCCTTGATCAATTCCTCAACTACTCATGTCATTGTAGCACTTGAGGTATCAATCCAAATGGAGAGATTCTAGACACTAGAACTATGAGGATCAATTCTTAATCCAAGTCTAATAAGCAGATGAGTTGGTAACCAAAATTATCTAAAAGCATATAACAAAACAAGCAAGAACAAACAGTAATTAAGAATTAAACAAGCAAGAGAAACTAAACAAACACTCAAATTCAAATAAAAAGAAAGCTAAACCTCTAGATGTGATCATTGATTAGGGTGCTTTAAATGTGAATTCATGATGCTAAGCAAACAATGCAACACTTGCAAATCTTTAGTCTAGACTTCCAATTCAGATTAATTCATTCTCATGACAGAAATCCCTTTGTTAATTACCAATTCAAGACTAATTCCCATTAGTGAATAAGCAATTAACAAGCATAAGGTTCCAAGTCTAACATGACCAGACAGCCTCTTTGTGCATCAAAATAAGAGCTAAGAAAGACTGAATCTTATACAGAAAGATAAAGCAAGCATCACATGATCTCAAATTCCAATTAACTTAGAACTCTAATCTAGATTAATCCTCTCATGAAGGCACTAACCTCTACACTAATCCATTTTCAAACCAAATCATCATTTGTGAAATATGAATCAATGAGCATTAAGAAACAGTTCTAATATGCCATTCATGCATTTAACAATCATTCCCATGACATTAATGCATAAACCCTTAGTTAGCTTTCATTCAGGCATTTCATCAAACACTTTTGGTGCATGAAAAACCCAGATTCTAGACCCAAGTGATGTGCAAGGATCTAGCATTAGGATCAGCTAACTAAGGAAAGGAGAAGAGAATCTAAGCTTAAACAATCATTAATCTACATCTAAGCACCCTAATCTACACACCTAGAAGCTTAAAAGATGACTACTCACTAATCATGAAGAACACATCTAATCTTTTGCAAGAGATGATGTTAATCATGATTAGAAGCAGAAATGAGATGATGAGATGATAAGAAACAGACTTGGAATGATCAAATCCCTTCAGATATCTCTTAATCAAAAACGTTTTTACACTCAAAAGGAAAGAAAACTAGAGAGAAACTAAGAGAGAAGATGATATACTTGGGTTTTTCTCCCAAAAAACTATATATACCTAGTGCTAATGGACCGGGTCAGCCCAGGACAAACTGGGTACTGACCCGGCTCAGTTGGGTCAAGTGGAAATCCTGCGGGTCAGTCCAGTATGTCCCAGGTCGCACACCTAAGTCGCAGTAGATGAAGACTTGTCTTGTGAAGCCTGAATCGCCTTGTCTTAGCCGCACGCCTAAGTAGGAGTGTTTTGCGAGTGTTGCTGCGGCTTGGTCTCCTTCCTCTCCAACTCGCAGGGCTAAGGCGGTTTCTGGGGAATGTACAAACTCTGCGGGTTGGTCTCTATTGCACCTAGGTCGCAGGCTCAAGTCGGAGTGATTTGCGAGTGTTGCTGCGGCTTGGTCTCCTTCCTCTCCAACTCGCAGCATCCAGAGCAGCTTAGACCACTTCGCATTCCGGAGAGTGTAACTCCTATGAGACTTGTCCGAATTGAATGATTTCGGTTGCAGAAGACAGAGGACTCATTTATCTCCAACTTTTGTGAAGAAAGCTTCGGTGCTTGGGAAGTGTAAGGCTTCCTGGAGGGCACATCTTTGCAGTGCATGTACACGACCAGAGAGAGGCGTCTAGACATGTGTCCATTCCGGAGACTGTATCTTTCTGCTCATAGATCCGAATTGAATGCTCTTGGACGTTCTGGAAAGAAGGCTCAAATGTCTATGGTTCTCATGAAGGACCCGGAAACTAAATCGGCCTGGAAGTGCACCGTCCTTCGCATCCTTTAGAACTGATCTGCTCGGTCCGGAATACCTGCGAGACTGGGGTTCCTTCCGACAAGCTTATCTCTCTGCTCACGCGTCCGAATTCCACGATTCTACTTGCTAAGAGACCGTGATGCAATGCTCTCCAACTTCTATGAAGCACCCGCCGTCTGAATCGGACCGGAAGGCTCCCCGGACAGGCGATCATTCAGGGGTATCGGATTGCTCCGGAATGAGTGCGAGACCTGTTCGTCTTCCGATTACCATATCTTTCAGTTCTGTGGTCCAAATGCCTTGATTCCAACTGTTATGGACTCTTGACTCAATTATCTCCAACCTTTATGAAGACTTCGACAGCTAAATCTGACCGGAAGGTTCCCCGGACAGGCGATTTCGGAAACGTGTCTGCACCCGGAGATTTTGGCCGAGAGACTTGACCGCGGTACGTGTTATTGGCCGAGAAAGCTACCCGCGGGAAGGATTTTGGTCGAGAACCTTCGACCTTCAGTACACCATTTTGCCGAGAAACCCAAAATTGCTCCTTTTCACCATTTTTGATCATTCCAACTCCATTTCTTCATCTGAATCACATCATCCACTCCAAATTGGCTCCAAAAGCACCTGTTTAACACTCCAAAACATGCAAAACTCTCTTGGACCTAATGCAATCTCCTAAGTCCTAAAACAATGCCTAAAGACCTAAAATGCATGCAAATGAGACATGATTTTGACTAGAATATGTACATTAAATGATGCAATTTATGAATATATCACCCATAGGTAGTTTTCCACTCCTATGGCATAATTGCTCTTCTCTAACTAGATCTGGCCCCTAATGAAAACTTTCGCAACACTACAAACCTAAATCAGATTATAGTTCATGACACTACTGTCATGCATTAAAAATAAGTTTAGAAGAAAAAATTCTAGGATTCAGCTTTAGTATCTAATCGAATCCTCATCGAACATATATAATCCCCATCAAAAATTCCCTAAAACCCAACATGTAAATTACTCAGACATGATTAAAGCAAGCAAAAACATTGTATTGAAATACTGAATAGAAATCGATATTGAAAAGAAACAAAAAGGGTTCAAGAGATAGATCTCTATCTCCCTAGACCTAAACGCTAAATGTATGAAAAACACAACTCTAAGAATGAATAATATGAAAAATATACGGCCTAGGGTTCCCAAAACATGTATTTATAGTCCTTAAGTCATTTCTGGACGTCACTTAGGGTTTCTCCAAATGAAGAAATTGATTTGGGCTCGAAAATGGGTTTCTTGGTCGAGCAGTGTTGATGAGGACATCGAGACAAGCCTAACACTAGCTGATGAAGAGCCGATCAACATACCCACCATGAGACATGCACCAAGGACAAGGTCAGGTACTAAGAGTCTAAGAGAGGAGTTCAACAAGTCAATAGAAGGGCTGATCACACTTATAGAGCACGAGGAACTCAAAGAGGAGCTACTCAAAGGGGAGATCACCCGAGAGACACCAATGGACGTGGGAGACACGGCCGGTTCAAGCCAAGACCTTCAAGAACCAAAGAAAGTCAAGGAGACACCGAGCAATGACTACTCTCAACTTAAGTTTCAAGCCATATCATTCCTACCTGTTTTACAAGGCATCAAGGATGCTACTACGTTTATCATCTCCAAGCAAGTGGAAATACCACTCATCAAACCAATGTAAGTATTTACAATTGGATTATATCTCACGAGCTTATTGTTTTTTTTGCAGGAGCTTTTCTTTGCCTTAGTCGTTTTCCTTAGTTTTTAGAACTTTTCCATTTTGTTGCTTTAGTTAAACAATGAGTTTTGTAGTTTCCTTTTCTGTATTTTTCGGCCAGGAGAAGCCACCCCGCTGTCGAACCATTATATAAGGTTCCTTCTCAGCATGTAAACTTTTAACCTATAAATAAAATAACCTGAGTTTTTTTTGAAAGCAAAAACCCTAGCCACGACTAGTTCTCTTCCTCTTCTTTGGTGCGATTCCTTTGAAGCTGAAGAACAAGACTTATCACAGATTCTTCCATCATCTGTGTGGCGTCTCTCGATCCATTGTACCCTTGTCACCTCGATTCATCACTCCTTTCTACCGAGTCATCTAGAGAGAGTCGTACGGCCAGCTAGAGATTCACCACCTTTCCATCCAAGTAAGAACAAGTCACTCTTGTTCCTACATCATCTGGTATCAGAGCTTAGGCTCGTGTCAGGTGAATCTATCCCCTTGTTACCTTCTAGTTTCGTTTCATTCTTGAAGAAAAATCAAAAAAAAAAAATTAGATCTCTTTGTTTAACTCATTGCATCGTGTTAGGGTTCTCTAGAAAATAAAATAAAAAGTACCGTTTGTTTCAAGTTTACATTCATTATCTTCATATCACTAGGGTTCCTTAAGAAAAGTAAAAAAAAATCTTATTGCATCGCATTAGTAGTCTTGAATCCATTTTATTGCCCTAGATACATTGTTTTAATACATCGGTTACCTCATATCCTATAGTACTATCATTGCATCAAAAAAAAAAAGAGAAAAGAAGAGAGAAGAATCTTCATACTTAGTAGTTTTGTTATTTGCGTTCTAGTAGCCAAAATTTCATACCGTACCAATTGCACTTGATCTTTAGTTGTTTTTGTTGCACGCCAAAACGAGAACAAGGAGAGGTTAACATGGCTCAGATACTTGCTAATATCCAGGCTCAACTTGCCACCTTAGGGGAGCGAATGACACAGATTGAGCAGCCACCACCAGCCCCAAGAGGACCTATTAGAGGTGTAAACGCATGAAGGGGCAACCAGGACGAAGATGAGGTCATGGAGGATCTTGACGATGGTGATCCACCAAACCAAAACCAACCATGAGGACAAAACCAACGAGGCCGAGGCCAAGAAGAGGGCAAAGACCTCAAGCTCACCGCACCAATATTTTTCGGCAAGGTGAACCCTGTTGCGTATCTTGATTGGAAAAGGAGGATGGAGTACATCTTCGATTATTACCTATACTCGGAGGCTAGAAAGGTGTCATTAGCGGCTGCACAGCTAACTGACAATGCCTTGGCGTGGTGGGATCGAGATGTTTCCGAAAGAAAAAGGCATAGACATGGACAGGTCAATAATTGGGAGGACATGAGATTCAGCCTCAGAAAGAGATATGTCCCAGCCTACTACCACCGAGTCTTGCAGAAGAGATTTCGCAAGCTCACTTAAGGAAGCAAGACCGTGGAGGAGTACTTCGAAGAGTTTGAGACTCTTAAGAACTGGCTTGAAGTAGAAGACTCAGCTGAAACCCTGATGGTCGAATTCATTGATGGTCTCAAAGATCGAATTGCTAGAAAGGTCGAGAGGCATACTTACCATGATTTGGAGGATGTGTTACATCATGCCGTGCAAGCTGAGCAACACATTAAGAGGAAGAACACTTCTACAAACCGGAGCAAAACAACTTGGACACCACAACCTCAGCGAGCTCTTGACAATGGCAAAGCTGTCGAAGTGGATAACCAATTCCACAAGTCCACTCCTGAAACTTCCAAAGCCAACAGACCCGAGGTAAGTAAAGCTTCCACACAACGAGCTAGAGATATAACTTGTTTCAAATGCCAGGGCAAAGGACATTATGCGAGGGAGTTTCCAAACCAAAGAGTGATGATCCTCAAGTCTAATGGTGAGTATGAATCACAAGACGAAGGAGAGGAAGCCGAAGACACTGATGAGGACATAGTCGACTACCTTGACCAAGGAGAGCTCTTAGTAGTGAGGCAAGCACGTAGTGCACTTTTTGAGCCAGAAACCATCCAGAGAGAGAACGTATTCCACTCTCGGTGCACTATAAACACTAAGGTATGTAGCTTGATCATTGATGGGGGTTCTTGCACTAACGTGGCTAGCAAGTATCTTGTAGATAAGCTAGGCCTCACCAAGACTAAGCATCCTCGACCCTACAAGCTCAAGTGGTTGAATGATGAAACCGAGCTCAAGATTACTGAGAAAGTAACCGTGCCCTTTAGCATTGGTAAGTATACGGATCAAGTGGTGTGTGATGTGGTCCCTATGCAAGCCGGGCACTTGCTCATAGGGAGGCCATGGCAATTTTACAAAGAAACTCTACACAATGGGCGCACAAATTACTATACCTTTACTCATAACAACAAGAAGCATAACCTAGCACCACTCACTCCGCAAGAAGTGCATGACATGCACAAGGCCATGTCTCGAGGCTCAGAGGTAAGCAAGACTGTGTGAGCCAAAACTCGCACAACCAAAAATTTGTTAAGGAAAACTTTAAGGGATCCAAAATTTCTAGGGTTTATCGGAAGAACAATAAGATCAAAAGAAGGTTTTCGCTGAAAAGTGTTTTAGTCTTATTGCTCTCGAGTTGTGAAAAATTACATCATGAATTGTTTACAGCGACTATTTATATAGAGTCTATGAACCGCCTAGCCGAGAATCTCGGGAAAGATTTTCAGAATATTTCCTTATCGCTTCGTGCGGCCGCCACCATAGCACTTTGCCTAGGGTTTTTATGGGCGTAGTTCCTTTACGATCTTTGCTCATCTCATTAAAGAAGGACTGGCTCGGCCCAACACGAAGAAAAGCGGCTCGGCCCATTCTTCCTCTTGCTCAGCTCGGCCCACTCTTTGTTCTTCTCACGGCTTGGCCCATTTATCTTCTTCCACGGCTCGGCCCACTCATAGTGGGACGGCTTGGCCCATATTCGGTGGGTAGCTGTTCCTTCTTGCCAAATCGGTTTTCTCCAGTACTTAGTCATTTTTGAGATGGTTTTTTCCGCTTGGGGTGAAACCGACCCCAACAGTTAGCCCCCCAGCTCGTCAGTTTCGGAGATGAGAATCACGAGGTTCATTGCTCCTGGCCATGGGATAAACCATCGAGTTAGGCCGTTGCGAAAAAATTCCAGGTAAGGCATTTTGGGAATAAAAATGCCGAGCCTTTCTTTGACAAAGCATAATAGCGAGCCGTTTTTTGGCGAGGCTGTTTGAAAGAAAATGCCAAGCCGTTCAAAAGATGAGGTTACTTTGACAAAGATAGCGTCGAGCTGTTTTCAACGACGTGGTGTTTACGTAGTGCCGAGCTATGTTTAGCGACGAGGCGTTTCAAGATAAAAGATAATGTCGAGCCGTTTGGTTAAAGGCGAGGCGTGGCGCAGTCTATGCTGCTTGATGAGATATCCTTGGGAAAGAGTGTACGCGAGGCGATTTGATAACGGGGACAGACGAACTGTTTTTCCCCGAATTTCTTTTAAAATGACGAGGCGTTTTTGTGAAAACTGTGTCGAGCCGAATAAACGACGAGGCGTTTTGTGAAAATTGTGTTGAGCCGAATAAACGACGAAGCGTTTTGCGAAAACTGTGCCGAGCTGAATAAGCGACAAGGCGTTTTGCAAAAGCTGTGCCGAGCCGAATAAGCGACAAGGCGTTTTGCAAAAACTGTGACGAGCCGAATAAACGACAAGGCGTTTTGCGAAAACTGTACCGTTCTTAATGACAAGACGCCCATAGTGCTACAGTGCACAGAAAGACTGATACTAAAGCTTTTCCAGAAAATACAATGCCGAGGCGTGTTAGATATTGCCGGGGGAGAGTGTTACGCTGATGTGTGCTGTCGTGAGGGTTGTCAAGTTTTACCCTAAATGAAATCAATAGCCGCAAGTGCACAGCTGATCGATTGTAGTACTTAGGGATCGAATCCACAGGGAAGGAGGATCTTTTCCTACAAAAGCCTTTGAAAGAAATATAAAGTAAGGAAGTCTAGAACCAAAACGGTTTTGTGGGGGTTTTGGTAGTGTGTTTAAAATGTAAAAACGAAATCTAAAACAAAACTACGGGAATTAAATGGCCTAATAACTAAACTTAACAAAATGAATAAAAACGAGAAAAACAGATATTCTAATTGCTTAAATGAAAATCTACTAAAAAGGAATGAGAATATTGAACTAAAGCTTAAAATAAAAACGGTGTAAATCTATAGGAAAGAAGGCGTTGGGCTTCAGGGAAGTTTTCTCAGGGGTACGAACGATTCAAAACATTGCTAGAGAGTAAAATTGATAAGATCTTAGCTTAAACTTTTCAAACTTGAGTCACGGACGTATGAATACGCCACTGTCGTGATCATAGACAACTATCTCTCTTAACCCTGACCAGTAGGTTTCCACTCTGGCCCTGGAAGAGAAGAGATGCATTATGTTTAAGACTCGTCAGCATTCACAAATCGCCCATAGGTAGGTTTCCACTCCTATGTTTGTTTTGCTCTCCCAAACTAGATCTGATACCGGATGAACACTTTTGTGTCACCAAGCATCTGGATCAGATTGTAGTTCATGACGCTACCCTCATGCAGTAAAAACGAATTCAGAAGAAAAAGTTCTAAGATTCGGCTCAAAAGCTCATGGAATCCTCATCGAACATATAAATCCCCATCGAAAATCCCTTAATCCCAACAATAAAACTACTCAGACATGATGAACGAAATCAAAAACATAGTATTAAGAAGTAGAATAGAAACCGAAATTGAAAAAGAAAGAACAAGGGTTCAAGAGACAAATCTGTCTCTCCCTAAAACCTAAAACTTAGAAGTATTCTAAAACAATAAGAAAAATAGCATATATCCTCTGAAATAGGGTTCCTAAGACATGTATTTATAGTGCTCAAGACATCTCTGGACGTCACTTAGGGTTTCTCCAAATGAAGGAATCATTGTGGGCTTCAGAAATGGGCCTTCGGGCTCGGAGTTGGCTTGCCGCGGTCGGGAGGGCTGTGACCGCGGGGAACGGACTGCTGGCCGCGATCGGGATGCTTCTGACCGCGGGAAATGGCCTGTTGGCCGCGGGTGGAATTGCTTGCTGGCTGGTTTACGGGACATCTTGCTCTTCGCGTATCTTTTGATTGAACCGTTGGATTGCTAAGCTGTAAAGTGTGCAGGAAAGCTGATACTTCCATCTTTAAGGTCTCCAGATTTGAGCTGGATCAGACGGTGAGAAGGCCTGCAATCAGGGGTGAACTTCTGACGGTTTGACTCTGAGATGAAATCTGGTTTTCTATCCATTTTGTTAAGCTTTTCCTTAAGTTACTTGAAAAGAGTCTTGGAACTACAAATACTAGAAAAACGTAATAAAAGTTGTGTGAGCCAAAACTCGCACAACCAAAAATTTGTTAAGGAAAACTTAAGGGATCGGAAACTTCTAGGGTTTATCGCAAGAACAGTAAGATCGAAAGAAAGTTTTTATTGCTGAGAAAGTGTTTTGCTCTTTTTGCTTAGGGTTGCAAAAAGTTACATAATGAATCGTAGGAATCTCTTATTTATACTAACTTCTTAAACCGCCTCTCCGAGAATCTCGGGAGAGATTTTAGGCATATTTCCTTATCGCTTCGTGCGGGCACCGTCATAATACTTCGCCTAGGACTTCTGTGGGCTTTTGACTTCCAAAGCCTTGGTTCGGCCCATATAGAAAACCGGCTCGGCCCAACACCTAGGGAATCGATTTGGCCCATCCCTCTTCTTGCGCTGCTAAGCCCGCTCACCGTTCTTCTCACAGCTCGGCCCATCTAACCTTGTCCTCAAACAAAGCAAAAGCCTAAACTCGTTAAGTGAAAACAAAAATAGGTAATGCACAAATCTCATAGACATGAACTCCTGAACTAGGACCAAAGATAGTGCATCAATCCACAACTTAGTCTAGAAAATTCTCACTAATGCACAAGAGATACTAGTCCACTTTTTCAGTCAACTAGCTCTCTACATTCATTAAGTTCAATAGTGAGTTCTCATTAAAGACATCATCCAGGGTAGACGGAGTTTGGCATTAAAGGGCTGTTTAAGTGGTGGAGTTAAAGTGTTTTGGGTTACCTGAAGATCTGGAGGATGCAAGATAATATGCAAAACCGCAAGAGAGATAAGGACCTGTTGATGACCGCAATTTTCAGTCACTTCTTCTTGCCAAATTTTGTTGCATAATCCTTCCTCCTTTGTTGTAAACAGCTATTCCCCCAGACCTATATTCTTTCCAGTAATCAGAAAATAATCTCCAAAACTCCATAAAATTCGAACTCCAGTTGCCTTGGCACTTAAAATTCGACCTCTCTAGACTCTCTAAGGCTTTTATTTCCTTTCTTTTCTTATTTTCGGATTTTTTTTTTTAGAATAGGAAATGCCTTTTAAAGAGAGAGAGACTAGAGGACGAAATTGTACCAAAATTTGAGATTTTTCTAAGGCAAACTGAGCTTCTTCTTGTGTTGAATCCTTCCGGGAACTTTTCCGGCAAATCGCAGGTCTCTGTCCTCAATGACTGAAAACTGCGTCGTTCCTCTTTCTCTCCAACGTTTTTGCACTTATCTGCATATAAGACAATAGAAAACAAGAGTGCATGTGGTTTGAAAGAGGATTGGTTAAGGTGGGGAACTAGCTAAAGATGAACTAACCATTCAGGATCAACAGAGAGTGGTAAAGGGATAAAGGAGTCCTAAATGTATGATTCGTTTCCCTGGTCTAAAGTTTCAATGAGAAAATGAAGTCCAAATTAAGTCCAAATAAAACAGAGCTAGTGTATCCCTTCATCTAAATCGAAATCATTCAAATTCCTCTGGGGTACTTCGTTTCAAATGTGCTTAGCTACCGCCTAGTCTAGTCCTAAATCATGAATGAGCATGTCACTAGGAACAGTCTAAAAGCACACAGTCAACTATCATTGATTCGTGTTCACCATTCCCTTTTAAAACGTATTTTGTTTTGAAAACCGATTTTGAAAAACTTTAAGAAAAATGCAAAAAGTGTAGATAATGCAAGACTCATTAAAGAAAAATGGTTAGAAAGGGATGAAATCCTCCCCCAGACTTAAATCACACTGTCCTCAGTGTGAAACAAGTCGAGATTGGATGAGAAAAATGCATAGATAATCGAATTGGTAAGGCTAAAGAGAACTTACCTGGATCCGGGATGCTGGTGGAGATGAACCAGATTCATTCGAAGAGGTTTGGGAAGGTGATTGGTGGTGATGAAGGTGGTGGAGGGTGATGAATGAGGTGAAGTGGGGATTGGTGAGGTGGAATGAGGTGAAGTGGGTGGTTTGGGGTCGGGTTTGATCTCAACGACCAATTGCCGCGGTCAGGAGTCACGCGACTGCAGCAAACAGGTGCTTGGCCGCAGTCAGAATCACGTGACCGCGGTCGATCATACGTTTCCCGCGGTCCGAACGTCTGCGACCGCGAGGGCTT